TCTTGTCAAAGGACTTATTTTTGTAAAATTTTAATTCTTTTAAACTTATGAAAACTTGTTTCATAACTTGGCACATGTTCTGTGTGTATACTTCTAAAGGAATGCATGTTCTGTTTTAGGGTAGAGTATTCGACAAATGTCACTTACGTCCTGTTGGCTATTCAAATTTTCACATCCCTAATTATTTCCTGTCTACTTTTTCTGTCAGTCATTGAGAGAGGGACACTGAAATACCAAACTATAATTTTGGATTTGCCTCTTTTCCCTTTCGGTTTTATCCATTTTTGCTTCATGTACTCTGAATCTGTTATCAGATGCATACACACGTGGTACATGTGTGATGCTTCTTGATGAACCCGATGAACCACTTTTTCATTCCGTGTTTACAGTTTTCACCTATTTTGAACAGTGTACCCTGACTGGTAAGGCTCAGCTAGCTGGCCACTGTCTGCAAAGTGAAAGGTCCCTGGTTCAATTCCTAATCAGGGCACACGCCTGGGTTGCAGGTTCAGTTCCTGGTTGGGGCACATACGAGAAGCAACTGATCGATGTCTCTCTCTCACATGGATATTTCTCTCCCTCTGTCTCCCTCCCTTTCTCTCTCTCTACAAATAAATAAGCCAAATCTTTTTTTTTTTTACTTTGACACGTATTTAACCACGATGTCTGCAAATATCTCTTCTTTATTTCCTCTTGGGCTCCAGGGACACCTGTGGGAGGCTTGAAACTGCCTCCAACTTTCCTGTTTCATCCTGGAGACTCATTTATGTTCTTCTCACTGAAGTTCTCTTATGTAGCTTTTCCACCTAAGGCATATCTCATTTCTAGATGTCACGTGCGTCTTTTCTGTACTTTGCATTTCTCTGCTCCTTAGCAAAGACAGGTTGAGACAAGTTGAGACAAGTTGAGACCATACTTGTCTCAACCTCCTTAAACACAGGAAGGCACTGATGACAGTTGTTTTAATACCATTATCTTCCCATTCTATCATCTGTGTCTTTCTGGGGTTTGTTTTTAATTGATATTCCTCCTGGTGGTGGGAGGTATTTTCTTGCTTATTTGTGTGCCTGTTAACATTGACTGTGTGCCGTATGTTGTGAATGTTACGCTGTTAGGGACTGGGTTATTAATAATGATATTCCTTTAGATATTGTTGCTCTTTTCCTGGGATGCAGTTAAGTTACCTGGCATCACTTGATCCTCCTATTGGTTTCAGTACTGCAGGGCAAGCAGAGAACGGACAGCCTTTCGTGGAAGGGCCCTTCAGCCAGGAGAGCCCCACCCAGTGCTCCACGTCTACCTGAAGAGAGCACACACCAGGCACGGTGCTAGGCTCCAGGAATCACCCCCTGCTTCTTTGCGGAGGTCCTCTCCTGCCTTCGGAGTCTTCTCAAAGGCACGTGCAGATCAGTAAGCAGCCAAGGACTCGAGGCCCCTCTGCAGATCTCTGGGATTCTTCCTCTGTGCACCTTACCACGCCCCAGCCAGTATTCCGCTCAGCAAATTCTAGCTGCCTCAGCCTTCCACATCTATCTCTTCGATTCAGGAGGGGCAGCAGCACTGGCGGGCACCCCCACCACACACGTGCACTGTGGCTTCGAGACCCTGAACTGGGCACTTGCGGGTGCACTTTGTCTGGTTCCCTTCTCTCGGGGACACTGTCTGTCCTGTGCGGCCTGTAGTTCAACGTTTCAAAATCGGTGTTTCTTATATTTTCTGGTTTTACAGGTTTTTAGAGCAGGAGGACAGCTAGTCGCAACTACTATCATGGTCTGAAGTTCAAGTTCCCATCGCTTATTCTGTTGTCAATTCTCAAATGCCACGGCCTGCTTTTTGTTTTTTTGTTTCCTAAGTCACTCACTTCCCTCAATGGATCATAAGCTTATAGAAGCTTTAGGGAGCAGGTCTGTTTATAAGCAGGATCCTGTACAGACCTGGCTACAGAAGTCAAATGAATAAAGAATGGGCAGACCGAGGCTGAGAAAGGAGATGAAGTATAAAGGTTGCACTCCAGCTGAGTCCCTTCAACTACGAACCGTGTTTATCCAGTTTATCACGTGCTGCGACTTCCTAGTGTTCAGATTCTCTGGCAGGACTAAAAGGGACAGAAACCTCCTTGCCAACCGCCTTGCCTCCACACTGGCCACCTCCCATCGGGACTGCCCACTGAAGAATTAAGTACTGGCCCTAAGCAGGCTGTGTGAAGCCTCTAAAGCAACGGCTTTGTCATTTTCAATAAACACTGAAATCTGAATCCTAGGTGTGCTAGCTACTTGCTCTGTGACCTTAGACGAGTTGCTTGACCTATCCTTTAGTTTCCTCATAAAATGGGCATATGCAACACCTTCTGCATGGACCTAGCACATAGTTAGTCCACTGTCTTCATTAGGATGCTTAGTAACTAACGGCCAGTATTGTAAGCTTAGTTAGGGTCCTTCAAGCTACGATAGAGACCAGGTAAGATGTGCAAAGATCCGTCTGGGGAAAAATTAGTGGCTACCTGAGAACTATCCTCAAGGTACAAATTTGAACTGGACAGGCAACTCAGTCTAAAAATTATAAAGTACAGGCTGGAAATATCAAACGATTTATCTCCTGGCTGCCTGGCTGCCTCTAGTTTTAGGGTTCTCTCTGTCTGTACCTTAGACATGGTCATAGAAGATGCTTTTTAAAAAGCTGGAAGGAAGAAGGGCCCCTGAGTTAGCAGAAAGGAGAGAATGAATGCCTGTTTGCGGGGCGGGAGGGGGGAGTATGAAGAAAAAATGAGCATAAAAAGCCATGAGAAAAAGAGTGTTCTCTAAGCTCACAGGAGATGCTAATGGGATTTTTCAAACTAGTAGGTTTCTTTCTTAATGCGTATTAATCAGAACTTTCAGAACATGTAGGTTAAAGCTCAGACCTTTTAAAAATGAGATTTCAAAGAAAGCCATCCAAATATTTTCATGAGTAAATATGAAAGATTCAAAGAATGTTTAAGTAACAAACATTTTTGAGGTCAAAGAAGCGAAGATTCAGAAACTGCTAGACGACTCCTGCGAGTATAGAATGGGATGTGGGCAACCAGAAGGGGCGACCATCTGCTCTCTGTCGGCTGATGAGTAAAACGAACGGGAACGGGCTCAGCTGCAGTGGGAGAGGACCATTCTAACACTCTAATGTTTACCAAAAGTGGAAACAATTTGCTAAGAGATATTATGGAATTTCCTTTCCTGGAAATCTTCAAAACCAGATTCAACGTCCCCTCCTCTGAGCACAGCAGAGGCACCGTGCCCCCGAGGCACAGAGTGGAGTGTGTAAGACGCTTGAGGTTTCTTCCAGGCCAGGCCGTGAGGTCGTGCATCCGCCAAGGGGCACAATTGCCCAGGGCTGCAAGCCGCTCTCTGAAAACAGACTGCAAGTGAGCAGAGTAGGGACGGTCCGCATCTGCTTCACGTTGGGATTTCGTCGAAAGGGCCCCGTGCAGAGTCCTAGGCTGGGGGTTACCTGAGGCTGCAGAGGTGTGGGAGGGAGGGAGGAAAGGCACGGACCGGCCAGGCTCTCGGGATATGGCCGGGTGCACTCACAGTAACAAGGAAAAGAGTTTTCCCTGTTAGATGACAAACAGAACACTGGACTAGGACAGGTTAAAACATGAGCACCTTGAATTTCTACATCGCCTCCAAAAAGTGAAGTCTGCTGAACCTCGAGCTACAAGGATCAGAATGAAGCCCATTTACTGCACTGTCCCCGATGGAGAGAACGGGACACTCAGCCCCACCAGCCAACAGCGGGCAGCCACTGAGGGGTCTCTCCTTTTCAGGCACCAGCAAAGGCAACGATCTGCGTGGAGAATAAGAAGCAGCTGAACTTACTGAATTCTCTGGCTTCCACGATTTCCTGAAAATCACTATCAGGCTGTCCTACCGAGTAAAATCCTAACTCGTCAACAAACTGCACCCTGGATCCACGGCCTAGAACTTCAGGCAGCAACAGACCACATGGCAGGTGTATTGGAGAGTAACAGAGTCAGAGCCCACGGCCCTGGGGTCTTCAGCGAGACCCTGGCACAGCTGAACCTCAAGGAGGAGCAATGACCAAAGGAGCATCATCACACAACGTGTCCTGACGAGAAGCGAGTTCTTCAGCTGCATTCCCAGGACTTGGCCAGACCTCAACCGTCTCACAGTCACTCCCACATGGAGTGCAAACTCCCTGATGGAGCTCTACCAAAACCCCAAAGCTCCCCAAACAGGGCTTTTGTTGAACCCTAGGCCTCAGCAGCAGAGTCTGTTTGACCCCCTCCTTATTGTTGAAAGTCACGGCCAAGGCCACAATTCCTGAAGCGTTGAGAGCTGGCATGCCTCAGGTGTGCTGGGCCGAGAATCGGGAGAAGCAGCACTCTCTCCAGGTTTCCTGTGCAGCAGACTCAGGTAAGGTGAAATCAGATGCTCGGAGGGGCTTTTGAAGCTGTGTTTTCTTAGCAAAGCTATAACTACATAAAAACACCGAAGTTTTCTGAAAGTATTTTACTCATACTTTATCTGAGACTGAGAAAATGTCACCTGCTTCTTTTCGTTGCCATTGCTATTGTCGGGAGTATTGATGGGGACACTGAGAGGTGCCAAAGCCACTCCTGGTGGCCAGTGACCGTAAGGTCGTAGCTCGTGGTTGGCTGGGATGGCAGCATGGTCTGCAGCCCTGGTCAGAGCCCCTGCCCATGCGGCACTAAACTCTCCTCCTCACCGAATAAACAGCTCCAACGGCACCAGTCCTGCAGCCCGCACACCCCAGATGGCAGCTTAATCGCCTGAAAGAATTAATAGGGCGCCTCTAAGCACATTATACACCCAGAGAACGGTTTAGGCAATGGGGAGAATCTGGCTCATTATACCCCACACGATTGCTAAATAACACACAATCACAGACACGAAGGCTGGCATATGGTAATCTCTCGACTATATTGAGATTCATTGCAGTGGAAATGCTGTTCGAACCCATCGGTGGGAACTCGAAAGGCATACCTTTCTTCTCTGGAAGAAACATGACGAGGAGACAAGCCAGTCCTCCGAGGCACAGGGAGGCTGCTAACGTCCGCTTCCGACCGAACCTAAGTGACAGGGAGCAATGACACATTGCGCTGGAGAATCTTACAGATTCGTCTGCCTCTCCCACCAGCCTTCCTGTTGAAGTGGCCTCCGTTTCTTTATACATGTTCATCTTTCCTTAAGGAGCGGGTGGCCAATGTGACTGTCCAGGACATAAAATAAGCGACCATCCTAAAACACAGGAAAACTGGCTGGGCGGCAGGCTTCAATAACAGTGCGGGGGGAAATCATTCTATCTATGTCTGTATATACTGTGGTCCGGGCACTGTTTTAAATGCTTCCTGTCTGTTATCTTACTTAATCCTAATACTACACCATAAGGCTTGCACTGTTATTTTCGCCACCTCCCGGAGAATGGAATTAAAACATGGAAAGTGAAGTCTTGTGGCTCATTTCAATTTCTGGTTACTTGTATCTTAAGCAGTTAAACTTTTAAACATCACCGTTTCTCTCTCTTAAAAAGTACGAACGGAAAAATTTCCTTGTTAATAGGGCAGAATTAAGTGAAACACAATGCACCCTTTCGGGGAGAAGCAAGTTTCAAATGAGCGCTCCAGATCTGGAAGAAACATGTTGATGTTCATAAGCCCCTCTTTTCCAGGGGCCCGCACCTCACTAGGTCCTCTCTTAGAAGCTTTGATGTTTCTTATAATTTGTATGACAACTTAACCAGGAGTATTTCATCATCCCTTGAATAAGGATGAGTACGTGGAGGTCTGGGGAGGTAACCTGTCCAAGTCATAAGGCCAAACACACGGCTGAGACTGGATTTGAGCTCAGGTCTGCCTGACCCCACAGGCAGCATCCCTTCTGTCTGTTTCAGATTTTAATCCTGACTCTGGTGGTAGCAGCTGGGAGATGGGAAGAGCTGTGAGTCTCTACGTCACTTTGCCTAGTTTAACAGTCAGTACCAAATGCCTTTCAAGTGATAGGCTGCATCCGAGGCAGGCGCCAGGGATGCACTTAAGTCATGCAGGGCGCCTTCACGGACAGGCAGAGTCCTCGTAACGCTTCACGTGGTCATCAGAGGTGTGCACGGGAAGTCGTACCAGCACAAAGGAGGGGTGTTTGGCACGGCGGGGATGTTGGGGACAGGTTTCTGGCTACACTGCCTCACCCGGCTCTCAGACCGCGATGAGAATCAGCTTCATCACTAACACAGGGGTCAGCAGAGCGCCACCTGCCGGAGAAAAGCCTTCAGCTGAGCGGAATCCAAACCCACCCTGCAAAATGTGCTAAACTCAATACCCATGACCACAGCATGGAGTGCAATGCTCAAGGAATGCTATTTTGGGTTAAAATGATGATTTCTAGAGAATGAGAAATGGCCCAGTCCAGCTGGTTCCTGGCTTCACAAGGACGGGATTCTTAGTTTCCCTGGTCGGGGCTCAGTACCAGGGGGCTCTGAGAAAACGGAGGAAAGGGTATTCTATAAAAGAACTTTTAAAAAGTATTTCAAAACTGTCCATTCGCAGTGAGTAGCAAAACAGGGTATGTTCTTCCTCTCAACTAGAAATACCTTTCTAGTTCCTCCGGTTCCCTGTCCTGAACTTCTAAATGCCAGTGGTTGGGCCGTTCACTTCCACCTGGACAGAACCAGTAATCACACCTGCTAAGACTAACACATTATGCGCACATGACTCACAAACCTTCAGGTAACGATGCCTTTTAATGCTGGATTGCAAACCTACACAAAACCTCATACACACGAAACCCTAAAAAAACTGCACTAAAAATGAGTTCTTACTATGCTCGGTCTGAAAAGAATTCTGAGCACGGTGGAGGAATTAGCAGACACCATATACAGACAAATACTTAGGTATTTACAACACGAGAGCGTGCAGGTGTAGTATACTTCGACGTCCATCGACACTCACCATTTCTGGTTAATCAGGTAGATGCAAAGAGGGTAGGACGGGATCTCTACGAGGCCAGACAGGGCCAGGTTGGCGTACATGTTCCCACCTAGATCACCTGCACTCAGGGTCAGGCCGTAATACACCAGGCTGCACACAAACCTGCAGTGGGGACAGGAGACAGAGGACGACAGAAAAAGCACGTAAGCATTTTCTGGAGAAGGTTCAAATGCTGGCTCAGTGTAATGCAATCTGTCTAGAGCAAGAGGTTTGGCTGTCCCATTAACAGTTCTATCCTAATCTAAATATCTAAACTGAAACCCAGTCAATAAAGGGGACTTGGAAATCATGTGTCTAGATGCCAGGTGAAGCAAATAAGTGGCCAGCCCCTGAAATAGAAAAAAACGTTGTTCCTGATTTCATCAAGCGTTTCTGCATTTAATAGAAGACAGTGACTCCATTCCTACTCTGTTTAACAGGGTTTATAGGCCTTTGCCTCAGGCAGTTTTGTGAGATGATCGAAATGGCTCTAGAAGAGAACTTCCAAGGAGAAAGTCAGCAGCGGATGGCATCCAGAACAGGAGCTGAGAGGTGACTGGATCGTCAGTGGGTCACCTGCAGGCCAGGAAGGACTGGCGCTCCAGCCCCAACCCGGCTCTTAACCCCATCCAGCGTTCAGCAGGCACCCATGCTGCAGACACCCAGAACAGGGAAGAAAAGACAGGGTGGCGGTGGGGGCAGCATTCTCCAGGAGGATCAGCGCAGGAAGAGCCCTTTGAAAAGCCATCTGAAAAGCCATTCCTTCACCTACACGCACCATTGCCAGAACACTGCGTGAGCGCCCCCTAGTGGCAGGCACTGTCCCTGGCACTGAGCCTCCCTGCCCTTCCGGGGAACTAAGGGGCGGAGGAGCTAAACCGAAGTGCCCGTCCTGAAGCTGCAAGCTGGGGCTTCCTCAACCGCAGTGAAGACAATAAAATAGCAACTTAGGTGTCTAGGAAACGGCATTATTAAAACAAAACAAACTACAGCAGAACAAAAATAAACAAACCCCTTAAACTAGGCTTTCTTAGTATAGGGATGCATTTTGCAAACCATACATTTCTACACCAACAGTCAAAGGCTTGGGCTTTGGAAGTTCACCAGTTTTTATGTTTTGGCAGCTCACTCTGACAAGTGTTTATAATGGGGAAGTTCTTTGTTTGCTTCCTTCTGGTATTCCTTAGAAACGGCCTAATGAGCTGTGGCTGGGATGAGATCAAAGGGGAAAGGGAAAGCTGCCTTTCCACCTCTGCCAAAACAGCAGGCCAGGCGCCCAGGGCTGTCCATGGGCCACACTGACCACAGAGAGGCTGGGGACGAGGAACAAGGGAGCCCTGGAGCTGGACTGCCTAGCGCTCTCGCCTCCCGGGCCAAGGAGCTGGGCAGCAGCTACTTCCATCGCTTCTTACAGGGAGAGCAGCCCCTTGGAGGGCAAGGAGCAGCGAGGCAGCCAGGACATCACATTACAGAGGCAAGGAGCCCCCGAGTGCCTGTGTCCCCTGTCCCCCTAGCACCTGCCTGAATGAAGGACATGAGCTGGGAGCATGGAGGTTAAGGGGACCTTTAAAAGCCAAACCCGACAACACAGCAGTGGAACTACTAATGTGAGGTCCTACCTACGGTAAACACATTCAGACTCATGCAGTTTCCTAAACTATTTTTGAAACCCCCTTCTACCTGCAGTAGAGACCCTGCTCGTATATAATGCTGTTCCTGACGTGTTATGGGCTTCGGTCTGTGTCTGCTCTGCATATAAACAGAAACCCCAGGGAAGGGACCCCATGGCAGGGCGGAGCCCTGTTTAAACTGGGTCGTGATGGTAGCAACCAGGACATGAATAAACCCCGCCAGTTCAGGATCCTACAGGAATTGAGTTACCAGCTGGTGGTGAGAGAAAAGGGCAAGGAAGGCTTCTGGTCCCAACAGGAAGGGGACTCTGCTTGTACATTTCCTTGATGGCAGAACTGGTCATTGGGATGAGGGACTATAGTGGCTAAAATCATGTCAATCCTCTTTATGGACCCAAACAAAAGTTAAAATGCTTGCACAATATTGAACGGTAGATTTTGGGCACCCAACAGCCACTGAAAAAGGCACGACTGTGGAAAATAAGCACAGAAATGGGTGTTGAACAAGGAGGTATAATTTCACTCCCCAGTCCAGGCTTTTCTTCGATGGCAGATCCACAGAACAGATCCGAGAATGTCACAGCATCTTCATGGGGACAGCAGCATGTGAGATGACAGTGTCTCTACTACCGGGTATTTTAAAATTCTTGAGCCTGGGGGAAAGAATTTCATCTGAGAGCAGTTCCGTTTATTGCGTAAAATATAAAATGAGCAGGGACGTTCTCCCTGGTTCTAAGTCTAGTTTGTTGGTTGGTTGGTAGGTTCACCAGGTTTTTTAATCCCCTAAAAGCCAGAACCCAAAAGTTGATATGCCTCAAAAAATTTAAAAACCTTAAAAACGAGAGTAAATATTCCTCAAGAAGTAGGGGCCTCCTTCAAGGCAGAGGGTTTGCCTGTCTCTTGAACATACAAATGTAGAGTTTTATGAAGCCCAAAGTACCCGAACACACTTCCCAAGTATTTACATTACAATATGTTAGATCTCAAGTTAGCAGCTCCCGTGCTGTGTGGTCAGGTTGTGCTTTTGAAGGTTCTCTTCATCCCCACCCCTCCAAGCCCGTGTACGCCCTTCTGCTTGCGCCACGCACCTGTGATGCCCCAGCAGTGTGCTGGCCCCGGAAGGGAGGTGGCCGTCGGCGTGACCTGGCCCCTGACCACACGGGCGGTGGCCAGGGCTTGGTGGATTCGGCAAAGAGAATCACAACATAGAATATCTCACAGCTTCTTATTCTCAAGTTACTATTCTTTTGAGCTTCATACATCAGATCACTTTCATTTAGAATTACTCGCTTTCACCCCCACCTGAAAATGGAGGTTTCTGTCGTAGACTTCACGGTGAATACAAACAAACCACGGCACATCGGTCCTCTGGGCCAGTGAGTCGGATGCTCACGCCCAACACAGGACCAGAGAACATCTGTGGCAGAATGTACAACATTAAAGAGCACGTGCACTTCCCAAACTGTACGCACTGTCCACTCATTTCTCCCCATTTCCCAACTTTGTTCTTTAAACAGAACCATTCAGAACCATCCAGGGTGATTTGCATTTAGACCTTGGAGCGCTTTGAGAGGCAGGTTGGAATAAACGAAACTTGAAAGTCAGGTTCAGAGAATATGCTGATCCATTCATTCCTATGTGGTGTTGAGTCGGGTCCCGTCACACTCCCAGGATCCCATTTGTCCAGGGGATAATGACAGGCCACCCCAGCGAGTAGTGGGGATGCCCCAGAACATTTAGCCCAATTTCCATGTGCTACCCCACTGCCCGATGCCCAGTCCGAAGGTGGGCATGTGTAATGCCCCAGTTAGAAACTCCTGTTTCTGCTCTGCTTGCTTTGCATTTTTTTTTCCCTGCAGGGTGACAAATATTTACATGAAATACCTCCTGAGCAAAGATGGGTTTCTGATGTCTAGTTCAGCGAACTGCCTTCAGGTGCCCTCATTTTCTCCTTGAGAAGGAGGGTGTGGAAACAGGCCAGTTTCAGGCCCCGGGCTGTGTGGGGAGGGTTATTTCTATGAGAATAACTTCATGCTGAAAAAAGGCAACGTTTTCTGTCACCTTGAAGAAGAAAGAGATTACCAATAGACCTTCAGCTGAAGATCAACAGAACACCCCGTAGACATAATTACCAGATGAACATCAGGGTCAGAGTGTGCCTCAAGAGGAGCCGGTGCCGGAACAGGTCCAGGAAACTTCCAGTCTCCTTGCAGTCCCTGTTGGCCGGATGTGTCAGGGAGAATGTGCACTTGAGCTTGCGGTTCCTCTTGGCAATGAGGTACAGAGCCGCTTCCGCCTCACTCAGGCGACCCTGGGAGTATAACCAACGAGGTGATTCAGGAATGAATCTGAAAGAGACGTCATTAAAGGCTGTATATTCATACAGGTGCACGTGCAGAGGAGGAGACGAGCCACCTACGCTGTGCGCGGGACCCCTCACCACTGCCGACTCCACGGCAGGTCTAAAGTCTAACTCTCAGTTACGGAGGGAAGGGAGAGAGGGCCGCCGAACAGCCTGCCAACATTAAAGTGCTGGTCTGCTTTATGGAAGCAAACCTAGACCGTGCTTCCGAAATAGCAGTGAAACCGGTAAACAGCATGCATTTACTTTTAAGCAGATTTTAACGTATGAACAGCAAGGTTAAGTTGCACCAGTACTAACAATGCAAACATTTCACAAAGCCCACGTCAGTTATGGCTCTAAGTCACAGCCAGGCATTGTGAGGATAATGTTACAGAGCTTATAAATGTTTTAAGTTCTGGGAAAGTCCCACAAAGAAGATAAAAGTCTTTATCAGCTCATCAGAAAAATAAACTTGTATAAAGTGTTTTTAACATAGTGATACACAAGTAAGAAGGTAGAGATTAGTTTAAGGCCACATAAAAATGAAACAGGGTTTATTACAAATTAGTTCCTTTTGAGTATTTACTACTTAAAAATACTTAAATCAGCTGACACGCTGACTTGAATTATAATGTCATGAAGATATTTACTAAATTCCCCAAGACCTTAAAAGATGAAAGCTTCACCCTGGCTGGTGTGGCCCAGTGGATTGAGCAACAGACTGCAAAGCAGAGGGTCACTGGTTCAATTCCCAGTCAGGGCACATGCCTGGGTTACAGGCCAGGTCCCTAGTGGGGCCCATGCGAGAGGCAACCACACACTGATGTTTCTCTCCCTCTCTTTCTCTCTCCCTTCCCCCTGTCTAAAAATAAATAAATAGCCCTAAGCTGGCATAGCTCAGTAGATTGAGCACAGGCCTGAGAACCACATGATCCCGGTTCGATTCCCAGTAAGGGCACATGCCGAGGTTGCAGGCCAGTTCCCGGCAGGGAGAGGCAACCACACATTGATGTTTCTCTCCTCTTCTTCCCTTCCTCTCTAAAGATAAATAAATAAAATCTTTAAAAAAAATAAAATAATAAACATAAAAATAAATAAGTAAATAAATATCTTTTTTTTAAAAAAGGATGAAAGTGTCTTTCTGGTTACCGTAGCCTCCGGTTACAAAATAATAATTACTTTCTTCTATAGCTACAAAGTATCGAACATTTACATTGCCATTGACATCTTCCAACAGTTTAAAGACAGACATTACTTATATTTCTCTTTTCTTCCCATTTCTGCAGACACCTTTAGATGACTTTTCAAACAACTAGCATAGGAACTCAAAAGACAACATCAAGTACTTTGGGATCCAATTTGACATTATTGGCCTAAAACAAAACTTGTGGAAATAACATTGGCTACATAAGGCGACTTTCCATAGGGATGGCGAATTGGCAACAAACACCACAGCATGCGGAGCTTCCTGGACAGTCAGCCACCGATCAGCCTGTATTGATTGAGCGCCTTCATTCTGTGTCCAACAGTGAAACAGGTGCAGAGAGGAAAGGTAATGGAAACAAAAAGGCAAGAACATCCCTGGCCCGGTGGCTCTGTTGGCTGGAGCATCATCCCTTATACCAAAAGGTTGTGGGTTCGATTCCTGGTCAGGGCCCGTACCTAGGTTGTGGGTTTGATCCCAGTTTGGGGTGCACACTAGAGGCAACCAATCGACATTTCTCTCTCAAATCAGTATTTCTCTCTCTCTCTCTCTCTTTCCTTTCCTCTCTCTCCAAAATCAATAAACATATCCTTGGATGAGGATTAAAAAAAAATGGCAGGACTTCCCCAGAAGTTTTGCTGCTGGGGAGAGAATGTTCATGTATAATGTTTAACAGTCAACAAAAGCAGTAACTAAGGCCTTCTAGCACAGACCAACCTGGACAACCCCTTTATTTACTTCCTCATTACCATTTGGCTATTGTTACTTAGGCACAAGTAAATACTCAAGTAAAATACTGTTCTGTTGGCAGTTAGGTGCACCAGTTACCCACTGGATCAGCTGGCCCTGCCCACAGGCAAGGTGTTACATAAACTACCTGATTCAGTCCAACTACACGTGAAAAGAAAGAAGACTACAGGAATAAATATAGATAGTAAACTTAGAATAGGAAAATAGGTGAGGTGCTAGAAAATATATGGTAATAACATTTAAAACTGAAGAGAACTAGGAAGAGGAATCAAGAACCAGTAAGTAAATAGCCAAAAACCAAAGTCATTATCTTTGAGTCATTTAAGTCATTTTTCTCTCCCCTTTAACTTCTCTGTGTTTTCAGAATTATTTGTAGGCAAGGAAAATTACTTTTAAAACTTCATCAATCATTTTTAAAGGCAGTAGTGGAGAGATAGTCAGGCTTTGGAAGTTTAACTCTGAGTTAATAAAATGATTTTTACCGGGGAAAAGGGTTGATCTTGATTATGAGAACGTAGGACCTGATATTTCGCCACATTTTGAGAAGCCAAATCAGCTCCTCCATGACAAAGGCTCGCCCAGTTGCCAGTGGACAGATCTGGGAACGGGGTTGCAACTCATGCAGACCAAAGAGCAAGGCAGTTTTTCAAAAGGAAAAGCGGACGAGGAACATCTGTCCTCTGGGGTGCTGTGGTCACCTTCAGAAGCTACGGTACCAATTAAACAATGCTGCCTCTGCTCAAAAATGCTCGGTGGGTTTCTTCCTGTTTTATTTTACATACACACATACACATATTTAAAGAGAGGGGAAGGAAGGGAGAAAGTAAGGGAGAGAAACATTGGTGAGAGGAACTTCGATTGGTTGCCTCTCGAACGCACCCCCAACTGGGGTCCTGGCCCGTAACCCAGGCATGTGCCCTGACTAGGAATCGAACCAGTGACCTTTCAGTTTATAGGACAATACTCAACCCACTGGGCCATACCAGTCAGGGCTCCTGCAGATTTCTTAACAAGTGGGAAAACTTTGAAAATGAAGGGGGCACTAATTTATAAAATAAAATTATTCAAATGCTAATATTGTGAAAATGAGGAATTTTTAAGCCAAGTAATATGTTTTTAAGAAAACCGACAAAGTATGACTCTAAAATAACGTGACTTTTTCTTCTGCTGCTCAGAGCTAATTCCGCACGTTTTTGTGCCAACATTCGCTCAGTGGACAGGAAGGGCCCACCGTGTGGAAGGCCCCGGGCTTTGGTGCTGGGGGACTGTAACTTGCCAGAGGGCCTGCTGCCACCAGAAAGCCCCTGGTGTGTAAAGACAGACGGGTTCCGGCAGCAGGCAGAAACACGAGGCCCACTTGAAGGGCACAGGCTAAGAGCCGTAGATCAGAAAAGAAAGTGAGTATCTTGTCGCCAGAGGTGTGATCAGGAACAGTTCGGCGTGGGCAGCGTTTGAGCAAACCAGGAAGGCTATTCACTAAGAGGAAATGGGGAGAAGGACAATGTTGCGTCTGAGCAGGCGCAACCTAAGGGCTGAGCGGCTGCTGCAGCCGAGCTTAAGGTACAACTGGGGACAACACGCAGCTCACTGTGCCTGGAACAGTGTGGGCAACTGGACAAGAGAAAACTAGGAAAGATGAATTGGAGGCCAGCTGCGGGGAGCCTCACATTCCTGGCCTAGGGGAATAAACATATATTTCAGTTTCACATGTTCCTTTCTGTCTGTTTCCTGTTTTTCATGATGTGAATTCATTTCCCACTAAGTAGTAACCAACTCAGATGACACACAGACAAACAAAAGGCAGAACAGCTTGTCATCCATCAAAGTCACTTTGCTCTTGAAGAGGGCAGGAGGGGCAGATTAGATCAAGGAATGACAGATTTACTAAATATTTTAAAAGGAAATTCCTTCATCTACCAGTATTTGCATAAATGCTTATTAATTCAAGGTCTACAGGAAGCATCCGTTTATTCCAAAAATTCACAATGCATAAGCTAACAAAACATTGTTTCCCTTTCTGATCAGATGATCTCACTCCAATTCATACAACTGAATGTACTGAATAAACTGCAACTTTAAATCTAGGTTAACTATTTCTACTGTATTCATTTCTGTACTTACTGTTGAACCTGAATAAAGAACTCCTAAATGGAAGCTCTTCCTCACCGAAAATTCTACTACAGGGACCCCTCACTTTCGGGCACAGACAAAAGCTGGTACCACTGCCTGAAAACTGTATTTATCCCAAAGGTTTTCATGATTAAAATTTGAGGTCTGATGCCCCAGAAGAAAACCTTTCACAAGCATGTCAAAAGTCCCAGTGAAACAGCCCCAGGCCGCAGCTCGTCTTTAACACTTGGAGCAGGAAAGCATCCTTTTTTTGCATTGAGGCCAGGTCTTGGTTAAGGATTTCTCCTGTATCTGAGGGTCTCCCTGCAGCTGTGTTCGGAGGCCCTGAAGGGAGACTCATCTCTGGGATGAACAGTTGCCACTATGTATCATTACAAATAGATCAGTCCACCAAATCGTAACTGTCTCACACCCAGACATTGATGTGGTCCGGCCTGAAGATCTTCAAGTGAAGATCTTCAAGTTTGAGACGTCAGGTTCAAAAGAAATTGGTCCCTGATGTCCCAGTTTGAAGGATATGATGCAGTTTGTTGAGAGGTTACTTTGAACAAGGAGTACCTGCATCTGAATGACTTAAGTATCTCTCTTCCCAGAAGCTGCCAAGCACTGGGGGGGGCACTTCAGGGATTTAGTTCTTCACCAAGGCCGGCTCAGGCAAACTCCCAAAAGGGAACAGCGCCGCTCACTGACCCGCATCCTCTCAAGACATTCCTTCTGCTTACTGAACTTAAACTCCACGAGAGAGCACTACTTACAAGGACAAGAGGAAGACCACCGTTCCCTGCAGGTTAGCAAGCACGGCCAGGGTCCTCCAGGAGCGGATGAAGTACCCCAGCAGCGCGTACTGGGCGATGCCGACCGCGAAGAAGAGGCCGCCGATCGACCCTGGTTCAGGGAAAAGAGGCCTGTTACTGCAGAGGCACCGTCTGCAGACTGTCCCCCGCCGCCCACGTCCCGGAGCCGATCCCTTCCCTTCAGAGGTCAGTGGGGAAGGAAAGCCCACGCAAACACAGAGCGTCCGATGATACTCTAGAAGAAAAGACGGCAAACAAGTGGGAAACGGGGAAGGTCAGATGAAAGACACCAACCACCTGCGGTCAAGGTGAACTTGAAGGCAGTGCGGAAACACTTTTGGCTGCCCTGAGAGTGACATCTGCCTGACCCCGCGGTGGAGGCTCGGAAACATGTTTTGCGACATGACAGTAAGGGTCGTAGGTCACGAGACTATGGCAACAGCGGGACTTCATTTTGTCACGGCTGCTGTCCCCGGAATCCTTATTTTAAATCACAGCCCACCTCCCAGTTCTCCCCATTGCCCTTCCCCACTTAATTTATCACCATCAGATGTGACACTTTATATCTGCGTTGTTCGTGTCTATCTCTCCCAAGCAGAATATAAGAAGCTCCTTGAAGCATGACTTCCTGTCAGCACACTGATAGGAAAAAAATCAATCACGGGGTGGTTAAGAATCCCACATTTTTTAGAATAAATGCTGAGACGGGTATTGAATCCACTGGCCTGCCCAATATACTTGCGAATTCTATACCTCTGTCACACTTTCCGTATCTGCTACTATTGCTAACAGTACCAGAAATAGCTACTATTTATGTATTAGCTGCTGTGTACTGAGCATTAAGCCTTTTATGTATATTATCCTAGAAGGCAGGGGCCGTTATTAGCCATCCACAGAGCAAGAACATAGCTCAGAAAGGTTAGGGGCCGCTGTCCGAGGGCGTGGAGCCGTGTGTGGCTGGGCCGGGACTCGAACCCCTGGTCAAGACAGGAGGGACTGCTTTCGCACACTCCTCTCTCGTGCTGCTCTTCCAGGGAAAGGGGGGCTTCTGTGGGCAGCCCACAGCAATAGGCTTGGGTGATCCCGTTACACACATTTTCCACAAACATTCTGTAAAACAAAGGTTTACCTTTACTCTTGTTCTTAGGTTATCTCGCTAAAACTGAAAATAATGGCATGCGTCCTGTGTGCCCCAGGGAGGCAAAGGGGGACCAAAGGGGGAGCTGATGTGCCCTCACGTTCCATGTTGAGAACACAAAGCAGAGCCTGTGGCCCAGTAAGGAGGGGAGGGTGATCGGAAATCCAGGATGATCGACAGCTATTCCAGGTTCAACACAGCACCTCAAACAGCACCTGGCTTCCACAGATGAGGCCCTTTGTCGGTCGGTGCTCAGCACGCGTCTGCGCACTCAGCCGCCCACTGACCGTGGTATGCGCAGAAGAAGAGCGTGCGCAGGATGAGACCTTTGCAAATCCTCGTTCCGCCACATGCTGCTGTGTGACTTTGGGCAAGTCACTAAGTATCTCTGAGCCTCAGGTTCCTCATCAGTTAAATAGAAATAATAATACCTACTTTGAAGGGTAGTTGTCTGTTTCAGACAAAATAATGCATGCCGTACAAAGGGGCATTTGTCCTCCTTCCTCCTGAAACATGGACATGGCCCCTCCTATCCAGTGACCCCTCCCTGAAGAAGAGCCACTTATAAGCCTCCTGCAGTGAGTCCACGCAGCACTGCCTTCTAATTCCAGGTACACCTCTCGTCTCTTCTGGGGAGCTGGCCCCCACTTACTTCCTCCCTGGGGCTCGCGTGGGGGCTGCCAATCAGAGCTCCCCCCCAGCTGCAGGCGTGGCCCCAGCTGGGTGGTCAGAGCTTTTGTCCAGGACTGTGAGATCTGAGAGCCGCTAGGCGCATCCCTGAGCAGGGGAAGGTTCTCAGAAAGGGTGAGGACGGAGGTGAGAAGCCTCTGACCTCCAGGCTCCAGGCACCTCCAAGGCCCAGCTCTTCTGCAGTTTGGTCATGTCAGCCAAATGATTTCCCCGTACCCACAGGTTAACAGTGTTGCCTCTTGGTCACAACCAGTAAGACTTGGTGTCACCTGGATATGAGGGACACGAGGACATGATTCAAAGGTTCTAGTCTGATGACCTTGAGAACTGTCATGACACTGCCATAGATGGAGGTCCCAGAAGGTGATGGAGATCTTCTAGGTGAAAGAAAGCTGTCCATTTTGTTTAAGAGGCCAATCCACACTCACAGCGAATGCCCAGCAAGCAGCTGTGTGTGAATGGCAACAGGGATTAGATGTAGAGTCGGAGAAGAGGTAAGGCTCTGGGTCGTTTGGTTTAAACATTCAATTAAAAATAAACATTTCAAACCACCCCTTTTGCATTCTGGGGTACCAGAAGTGGCTCTGTAACTGTTTATGGGCCTTTGGATATTATGCCTATTTTTCAGATTTCTTTTCTGCCTATTCTAAGTTAACGTCAAGTCTGCCAATCCTGCTCAGTTTGCAGCAGTAAAAATCAAACATCAGTCAGTTGAGAAAACAGTGGATAGTGATGACTTCCTTTTTGTAAATGACACCGATGCCCTGTCCAGTTTTTAAATGTGAGTCTTGAAGTTTCCGTGATTCCTCTTCCTCGTCCCCTCTCAGCTGATTCTTTCATAAGTCATGTTCCCACACAAATCCAGCTCCAATGCACCCTCCTTCCTCCTCTTCCACGCCCCACCTTGTCAGGTTTCGCTTCCCGCTGCCAAGTTCCACAGGGCCAACCACAACAGGCTCCCGAATGGCCTGTCAGTTTCTACCCATGCTGCTCCGAAATCCATTCTTCGAAAATCTACCAGAAAGATCTTTCTGTGTGTACGATGCTATCACTCCTCTAGTTAATTCACCCACTGGCTCGAACTTGGAGGACAAAACGAATTCTCACTCAGCCTATCATGGGCCCCGAATCATCCAGGACCTTCGACTTGCTCTCCCCCAATCTTCTCCCGACTCTGCACTACACCACGGGCATCTTGGCAGGCCCTCAAAGCAGCTCATTCCTGCCTTAGGACCTTGGTTCTTGCCATTCCATCCTTCTAGAATGTTCTCTCAGAATTTCATACACCTAGGTCTTCCTCACCATTCATGTCTTAGATCAAACACCTACATCAAAGTTTTCTCCATTTATGCTATTTAATATAATTGTCCTCCACAATTACTGTCTAGTCCATTGTCCTGTTTAATTTTCTTCACCATGCTTAAAATTTTCTGAAATTACTACCTCAGGTCTGTTCTGCCTGTCCTGATTAAAACATAAGCTCCATGAGAACCAGTGGGGGGTCCCAGTGCGGGTGGGGTGAGAACCTGCTGTAGTCCCAGGCTTGAGCAGAAAGGAGTGTTTGAGCTGCTTGGTGGCCTGTAAACTCCATTGCTGGCTCCAGTCAGGCTTGTCAAGCCTGCTTTCCCCTTGAGCAAGGCTCTGGGGCTCTTTGCCTTCAGTGTTGTGGCTCTGGCAGTGGGCTTGCCTTGGGCTCCTGGACTCTGTCCCTGGAGCCTGGGGCTCAGAAGTGCCTCTGCCCATCCCCTCAGTATTACCTCGTCTCCCTTCCCTTGGGGGCAGCAGAGACAGGGCTGCTTGCAGGAAACTGGCCCCACTCAGCTCTCCCTGCCACGCCAGCTCCCTCAGCCTTTGCAAGGCACTCAGGGTGGGGGACTGCAGGACCAAGATGACCAGTTGGAGTCCCCATGTTCCCAGCGGGCCTGATGCCAAGGAGTAATGGGCCTAGCACTGCCTTTGGAGCTCAGCCCCCAAATATAGCCCTATGGCCTCGGCTAGATGGCTTAGAAGGAGATCTAAAGAGGCCCCTTATCTGTATATAGTGACCTGGGAGGGGGTTGAGGGGACAGTTGGCAGGCATGGCAGTTGCCTCTGCATGGAACACAGCCCGACTCCTCAACCCCCTGTAAATACTGGATCAATTAAGTGAATAAAACTCTCCTAAAAAAAAGTCACTACCCTCACCTACCCCATTGTGTCCACCCTTTTAGCCCACGTGCCCGAAACAGCAGAGTCTGGTGCGTGGGAGGGTCTGTTTACTAGATAAGTCTTGTGGAACAGAGAGGCAAAGGAAAGCTCAAAGGACACACAGCAATGTGTTAACTGTGGTGGCTTCCGGCTGGGGAGGACCACATGTGTTCTTTGTACGTGACTGTATTTCTTGACTTTATTTTACAGTGGACATCAATTCTTTTTGTGGTAAGATACTTATACAAGGGGAAAATAAGTAATATATTAATATGGAAAATTTTCACAGCTGTGGTATTTTACTTCTTGAGAAGGTGATCGGATGGTTAAAAAGAATACAGACTATGGCCTCAAGGTTGAAACTAAAAAAAAAAACAGTAAAGAAATGTTCCAACAAGTACCATCTGTTGAATTGAACAGACTGTCAAAGCCAGAAAGATCCATGAGACACGGATTTATAACATATGATAAGAAGGCTCTGAGGAAGGCGATTCCAATATTTCCTGTCTGCACCACTTTTCAGTTTAGGGTAAAAGCAGTGAACGTCCTTGTGAGGAAATCGACATTCTCCCCATAATCTGAGGCCGCCTGCAAGGATGGGGACAGGTTCACCTCTGGGAGTCAGGCCCCAGGGGAGACTTTCTATGGAGAAACACAAATAAAATGACTCGATCACGGTCAGACAGGACCAGCTTGGGAAAGCAAGTCTAATAGCTGGACAGAGCACTTCACATCCGAGTGCATTTTTAGGCTCCCGGTTACCCTGGTGCCCTGCAATCTTCAGGAGCAGCTCACCACCTCCCCCATGCATGGACTGAAGCAGTACCTGCGAGTGCCCAGTAGGCGGTGCCCACACATTCGTTCAGCAGGACAAAGGCCACCAGCGACATCCCTCCGTTCATCATGCCCACCAGGAAGCGGGTGACTGCAAAGAACTCGTACGAGGGGGAAAACCCATTTGCAATAGCAAATAAGATGTCAAGAGCAAAACCTAGAAAGAGAGTAACAGTATTCAATAATCCAGAGACAAAACAGCATTTGAGGGAAGTATTCAATTTTATTCATGAGTTTCTAAAATTGTCTTGGTAAACTTAAATGTCCTGAGCGTTTGGTTTGTTTTTTAAAAGATTTCTTTTAAAACTGTCAATAAAAACTGAGATTTCTCTTTCTTTGTTACAAGGTGATTTCTGTCCATCATGCACAGTTTTGAATTATGCACAAAAATGCTGGAAATTTACAAAATCCTGGCTCATACTCAGCTTGTCAAGAGAATGACAGCGAGTCCTGCAGAGCTCATTTGAAATGAGCCAACAACACAAGGAAGGAGGGAATGGATCTAGCAGGCTGTCTCGATCTTCATTCTCCCTGGAAACGGCATAAACTAGAATCTGGGGGTGCCGATGGCACCAGCACGTCTGAAAGCTCACGGTGCGGCAGTCAGGCCGTCCCCAGCGATGCCAGAGTCACCTCTGGCTGCTGTCTGGCCTCTTACCTGTGTCATAAAACCCGGCTCTGTGTCTACATGGCAATTCCCTGAGAACCGGAAGGAAAGGGTCCCCATACTGCTTCCCCTGGGAAATCTGTCCTCTAATTCAGCTCCTGAACACGCTGACGGATTACCTGTGAGGTAGACCTTTTTCCTCCCGAAGCGATCCGAAAGCTGACCGAACGAGATCACTCCCACAAACACGCCGCTGAAGAAAAAAGAGCTCGCTGCGCTCACTTTGTACGATCTGTTGGCAATTAAAAACCACTGGAGGAAGGAACGACAAAAGGGAGACATTTAGATCAGTGAAAGGCTGGATGGATGGAGTTAGCCCTTAAAAAAACACGCCTAACGAAACTTGTGCACCCTAACTTCTCTGCTGCATGGCCCACGATTAACCAGAATTCAGTAGAGCATCCGTCCTGGACAACATCCAAAAAGATCCTATTTCCAGAAACACCGGAAATCGTTATTACTGTAATGAGATCCCAGAGTACCCTACACACACCACGTTACAGCACAAGTAGAGTGCACAACAGTTTATCACTCACACATCTGTTTGTCCTTCTTACAAAGCCCCTGCATTTGCAACTCTCGGACGCCTAACACAGTACACGACATACAGGAGGCAGTAAATAAACGTCCCTTTTCTCCACTAGGTTAATGGGTTTAAAATCTCTTAAACACTTTTCTCAAAAAATTAACCATTCAACGACCATATAATCCAGTAATTCCATGTCTTGGGTATACACACAAAAGAACTCAAAGCAGGGATTCAAGCAGATTGTTTGTGCCCTAATGTTCGGAGCAGCATTATTCATCATGGGCAACGGGTGGAACCAACCCAAGTGTCTACGGACAGAAGAAAAGATAAGAAAATGTGGTATATTCTTACAACGGAATACTATACAGCCTTAAAAAGGAATAAAATTCTGACAAGCTACCACATGGACACACCTTGAGGACACCATGATAAGTAACATAAGAAGACTGTCAAACAAACCTGAAAAGAGTCTGGAGGTGAGACTTCCGCCAAGATGGAGGTATAGGTGGATGTGCCGTGCCTTCTCACACAACCAAGTTTAGGGACAACTAAATATTAGCAACACAAAACACAGCCAGAACACGGAAAATTGAACTTTTCGGAAGTCCGTTAACAACAAACTCTGCAGCCTGACCGGTAAGGGGCGAAACCAGTGGCTGGGGAAGCGGGATTGCACAGGAGGACTCGGTCAGACGGGCTCAGGCGCAGAATCCAGACGCGGAATCCAGGCGCAGGGTTGGACCTAGTGAGCGACCGAGCGAGCGACCAGGCGAGCGACCGCGGAGGAGACAGCGGGGAAGCGGTGCTGCGTGTTGACTGGGGTCGCCTATTTGTGCGAGAGCGGACAGGCAAGGGAGTGGGCCGTTGGACCGGGGCCGGCATCCCTGCGGCAAGCGGCAGTAGAGGGCGCCGCCATTTCCCTGCTCTGACCACGCCCCCACATACAGCGTCACAACCCAGCGACCTGGGACTCCAAGGCACCGCTTCTCACACTTAAAGGGCCAGAACAGACCAAAAATGTCGCAGATTCTCAAAATCCCTGAGCCCATAGACCTAAGCGATGAAGAAATAGCAAAACTCTCAGACGCACAGTTTAAAACACTGGTCATCAGGATCCTCACAGATCTGGTTGATTATAGCCACAAATTAGAGAAACATATGAAGGCGAAACTAATTGAAATGAACGGAATTCCACAGGAAACCAATAGCGATGAAAAGGAAACTGGGACTCAAATCAATGGAGTGGACCAGAAGAAAGCAAATAATGGCCAAACAGAAAAGAGTCAAGAAGCAAGAATTCAAAGAAATGAGGAGAGTCTTAGGAACCTCCAGGACATCGTTAAACGCTCTAATATCCGAATTATAGGGGTACCAGAAGGGGGAAAGGCACAGCCACCAGTGGAAAACTTATTTGAACAAATAATAAAGGAAAATTTCCCCAATTTGGCAAAGGAAATAGACTTCCAGGAAATCCAGGAAGCTCAGAGAGTACCAAAGAAGTTGGAACCAAGAAGGAACACATCAAGGCACATCATAATTACATTAGCCAAAATTAAAATGAAGGAGAGAATCCTAGAAGCAGCAAGAGCTAAGGGGACAGTCACCTACAAAGGAGTCCCCATCAGACTGTCAGCAGATTTCTCAAAAGAGACCTTACAGGCAAGAAGGGGCTGGAAAGAGGTATTCCAAGTCATGAAATCCAAAGACCTACAACCAAGATTGCTCTATCCAGCAAAACTCTCATTTAGAATGGAAGGACAGATAAGGTGCTTCTCAGATAAGATCAAATTCAAGGAGTTCATCATCACCAAGCCCTTGTTATATGAAATGTTAAAGGGACTTATCTAAGAAAAAGAAGTTAAAGAAACATGAACAGTGAAAGGACAACAAACTCACAGTTATTAACAACCACACCTAAAACGAAGGCAAACTAAAAGGACAGCTAGATCAGGAGTGGAAACATAGAAATGAAGATCTCAAGGAGGGTTAGCAACAGGGGAGTGGGAGTAGGAGATGGGGGGAGAAGGTACAGAAAATAAGTAGCATAGACAGTAGAAAGAAAATAGATGGGGGGGCAAGAATAGCATGGGAAATATAGAATCTAAAGGACTGGAGACACATGGTCATAAACTAAAGGGGGGGTAATGGTGGGGATGGGGGGGTAGGGTGGAGGGGAATGAAGGGGGGAATAGAACAACTGTAACAGCATAATCAATTAAAAAAATAAAAATTTAAAAAAAAAAAGAGTCTGGAGGTTTTGCCAAAACTAAGTGATGGAGATTAACTCACACAACTGGGTAAGAGTCCACAAGTGTCCCAAGGAAGAAAGAAAAGTTCTTATAATAAAGAGTGCATTCTTGAGAATTACACGTTCTGCATTCTTAGCCTTAGGATTGGTCTGGGACGGGTACCGGTCAGCTGTCAGGCCGTCAGGTGCCAGGGGGAGGTATACATGAGTCCTCCAAGGGGCGGTCAGATGGTCTGGACTCGGGGGTCCTCTGGCAGGTACACGGAGGGTTACCTGGGGGTCCAGAGGTACATCCAGGCATAGACCTACGACTGGAAAGTTTAAAAATGCTTAAGGTCCCAGGCTAGTTAGAACTAGAAGAGAGTCCTCACGTCTTGACTTTCATCATGTTATTAATTTTAGCAGCTTGGTAAAGTGTCTACTTTTTATCTTCCTTTTCTTCACTCTTTCCTCATATGAAAGGGACCAATATTGTATGATTCTACTTCACAAATGTGTGAAAAGTATGAACAGGGGAAATGCCTTGCAAGTCTTGGTCCTCAAACCTTTCCAGCGGGAGGCAAAATAACCTGTGGACTGGGCCTGAAGTGGCTTCATGTCCCCAAGAGCTGTTTGCTGTGACTGCAGACTGAAAACTAAAGTCATTCTTTACGGTTAGTCAGCATCACTATGTTAGTTCATTTGCACCTATGAAAATGCATCCTTAGCTCAGCAATACAGAAATGCCCTCTGTATATTCATGTAATTGTTCCCCTTCCCTTTCTCAGGAAAGCCCCTTGCCTTCACCCCCTAATCAGAACACTATTTGGGGTTCTGCCTGAATCAGTGCTTTGAGAATAGCTGTTATTTTTGGATCTCAAATGAATGCTCATTGCTTCTTGCTTAAGGCCTTTTATTTTTAGGTTAATGAGTGTGATGTGCTTAAGGATAAGAAATGTGTATTTGGTCTTCATTCACTGTTCCTGGCGTACAGCCCCTGAAGCCCTTGCAATTTCCCGAGCAAGAGCCACAAGGGCATCTTTCGTTACCGTATTTGGTTCTGTTGTCCGTTCCTGAAAAAGCTTCAGAGCAATAAAAGTGACAGGGAGGTCTTGTGGTTTACACAAGCCCCTTTCCACCACACCCGATTATGTTCAGGAGACTCCTGGAAAGCCCCTCAGATGGAGCACCGGTTGCCAGGGGAACCAGGCCCAGGATGAGAGAGTTGGAACTTTCAGCCCCACCCTCTAGGTTTCCAGGGAGGGCAGAGGGACTGGAGGTCGACTCAGTCGCCAATGGCCAATATTTTAATCAATCACGCCTACGTAATGAAGCCTCCATAAAAGCTCCAGAGGGTGGGGTTTCCAAGGGCTTCGGGGTGTGGTGAACCAGCGGAAGCTCTGGGAGGGTGGGACGCCCAGGGAGGACTTGGGGCTCTGTGCTCTTTCCCCACACCCTGCCCTGTGCCCCTCTCCAGCTGTGTCCCAGCCATATCCTTCCCTAATAAACCTGTGAGCTGGTGAGTGGCGTGTTTTCCTGAGTTCTACTACGGGCTGCCCACGCAGGCTAACCTAACTCAGGGAGGAAGCTGTAGGGACCCCTGACTCAGTGTCCACCAATCAGGAGTGCAGGTGGCAACTAGGACTTGAGACCGGCCTCTGAAGGGGGCGGCGGGAGCAGCCTTGTGGGACCAGGCCCTGACCCTGTGGGATGTAATGTCCACTCCAGGCAGACGGGGCCCCAACTGAATGGAATGGTTGGACCCCCAGCTGGTGTGGCAGGAGAGCCTGATGTGAAACACACCCCCACACCCTCACTCACACACACACACACACACACACACACACACACACACACACACACACACAGTTGGTGGTGTCGACCTAAGAAATGTCCAACCCTGTACAGAATTTCTATGCATCTATTTGAGCCAAACTGACGACAGTTGCTGGGAAGTAAAATCTCAATGGACTGAGGAAATGTTCCAGAAAACGGCAGCTTTACTGCTTGTTTTATACGTCAGACTCAAAGGGGGAGATGTAAGGCGGCTACATGGAATTCTCTGGTGGTAGGTCAGGGAGGTAGGAGAAAGCAAAGCGAGGAAGGGGGATTCTCTGGGACTGGATGAAAAGTAAGAGGCACAGACACACACATTTACAGTGGTGGGCATGGGACAGTTAATTAACAATTAACACGATACCAGTAACAACAAGGGGTCCCTGGTCTGGTGCCCTGGGGCAATGGTTGTGTCCTGAGGGGTCTGGAGAAAGGAAGCTACCCCCACACGTTCCAGAGGAGGGTTATCGTAGAAGCAAAAAGACCCACAGACAGGCTCGGTTAAGGCAACGATCAACCCTTGTTGAGGAAGATACTGGCCTGGGACAGATTACTCGTCATGACTTGCTTTTAGTTAGGGTCTTTTCATTTCAGACCATCCTGTGTGGTTCCTTTTGGTCTCCGAGTCTGGAGGGCCACCAGGCAGGCCTCCCAGGAGTC